CCAAAACCAGTCCAGCTCGTCCCTGCCTCCCTAACCTGTTCTTCCTCCCACCTATCCCCTCCTCCCACCTCAAGCCGCACCTCCATCTCCTACCGACCAACCTCATCCCGCCCCCTTGACCTGTCCGTCCTCCCTGGACTGACCTATCCCCTCCCTAACTCCCCACCTACACTCACTTTTACTGGCCCCATCCCCGCCTCTTCGACCTGTTTGTTTCATCTCCACCTATCCTCTCCTCTATCCCTCTTCTATCCGCCTCCCACTCTCTCCCTATTTATTTCAGAACCCCCTTCCCCTCCCCCTTTTCTGATGAAGGGTCTAGGCCCGAAACGTCAGCCTTTCTGCTCCTATGATGCTGCTTGGCCTGCTGTGTTCATCCAGCCCTGCACCTTGTTGTCTATGTAAATACTCTGATGGCCTCTACTGGTAGATATACAAAATTGCAATTCTGAAACATACGCATCGTGTTTTCTCCCTTTTAAATTTTCCTGTACTTTCTGAGTGTGAACAGTTTGAAGAGCACTGGCTAATGTATAGCACTTCAAACAAGTAACCATGAAGTGTTAGCAGGGACAGCAAGCCTTAGCATATGATTTGACTTTTGTGGGACTCATAGCTGAGCAAAATCCTACCCTCATCCAACAAACACAGAAGTACACTCCCAGCATGGCCTCAATGGAAATATAGACACTGAGGTTTACAGTGTGTGTCATATTGTGGTACCGGTTGTATCAACTAACTGGATTGAATCATAGAATGGTTCTGCTCAGAAAGAGATGATTCAGCCCATTTTGCAATTGATACCATTCAACAGGCTTAATTTCTGGCGCGTTATTTCCTCCTGTTGTCCAATGCTCAGTGCCACAGGAAACAATGCACAAAGCAGTCAAGCAAATGGAAAAGGTTTGTGTTTTCAATTTCTGATCTTTACTTCCATATCAGTACATTAAACACACTTTTATGTTTAACAATAGCAATTATAGTACAAGTATCAATTATTTTAGATCTGGAATAATCAAATTGCATATAAAATTTCTGTCAATACAAACTGTTCTGAAAATACATTGCTTCTACGAAGATCTGTTTAAGGATGTTCACAAGCTTCACCAATGAGCTTCTTCCATGCAGCCTCTATGTATCTTATTGTAGAGAGTTTGGGGCATGTGTGGTCTTAGAATTGACCCATTCACTGTGGGATTCTCACTTGTTCTTTGATCTTTTGAAGATTGAACTTATGTTTTTTTTGATTACTGAAATACAAAAGGTCAACAATTAAAGGGGCCCTTCAAAAGCATGTCTGAATAAGGCATTTCAGTCTTAACTAGGGCAAGTGGCTTTATTGTTATCCAGTCAATAGTCATTTGCTATTACAGAGCCTGAGCATTGCTGAAGAAAGACACATTTTGTTGAAGCTTTTTGTCTTGCGCTCATTCGGACAACTCGCAAGAAATACCAACGTAAAGGGAAAACATTTATACCATATGAAAGGGGAATGTTGACTAGTTGGCAAATGGACTCTGAGTACAATACTGCCAGATTCTCCAGGGCAATGCCCCTACCAATCTACTTGCCAGCCAATCAGCACCCTCCTCACATTCAGTATAAATGTTGGTTTCCCTTTACATTGGTACTTTGTGCAAATTGTCCTGATTGAGTAAACAGCGAAAAGCTTCAACAAAATGGCTTTGATGCTTGGGCAGTCAATTAAATCATAAACAATTAGTTTAGGTATTTGTAGGATTTGTTACAAATAATAAAATATTTCTGTTAAAAGGTAGCAGATTTATTCATTGCAGCAGAGTTTCAGTGTTCATAGGATGAAATTGTAGAATCCTTACAGAGTAGAAGCAGGTCATTTTGGCCATTGAGTCCATACCAACCCTCTGAAGAGCATCCCACCTAGACCCAAGTCCCTAGCCTATCCCTGTAACCTGCATTTCCTGTGGCTAATCCACTGAGCCTGCACACTATGGTCAATTTATCATGGCAATCCACTTAACCTATACATCTTTGGACTTGGAAGGAAACCAGAGCACTCAGATGAAACCAACACAGATACAGGGAGAACATGCAAACTCCATTCAGCCAGTTGCCCAACAGTGAATTCAAACCCGGGACCCTTGTGCTATGGGGCAGCAGTGCTAACTACTGAGCCAACATGCCATCCATGTTAGAGAAAATGAAATAAAATTCATTAAAAAAGGAAAGTGGAGACTACAAAGAATTTTAATTAAAAACATAAATTGCTGGAGAAACTCAGCAGGTTTGGCAGCATCTGTGGAGAGAAAGCGAAATTAACATTTCGAATCCAGTGACAATTCTTCAGAACTGAGGGGCCACTGAACTTGAAAGGTTAACTCTGCTTCCTCTCCACTGCTGCTTCCAGACCTGCTGAGTTTCTCCAGCAATTTCTGCTTTTGTTTCAGACTTCCAACATCCACTGGTCTTTGTTTTATTTTAAGGAATTTTATTAATCTGAATCCAGAAATTTCAATAGAGAGTAATATTCATGGTTGATACAGGAATAAGTGGAGTGCTTTATTAAGTTGGGAAACGGTGACTGCGTCAGAGGTGATATTAGATATAATGTAGTCTAATACGGACTTCTGTTGAGGGATGGAAACTGGACAATGTTTGCTTCAGGATCATTCTCCAGAGTCCTGCAATGTGCTTCCACACCAAGTGATGAAATACTATAGTATTCCCACAGATCATGCTCTCGATTTCAGGTGTGATACTTTTAGCAGGTTGGCAAATGGAGGCCTAACATTTCCTCATGGAAAGTGGGGGGGTGAATTAAAATTAGAGAACCAATTGTTCCATTTCAGTAGACTGGGAACATATTCACTGCACGGACTCCACTAGTTCAGGATAAAGATTCATCTAACACTCACAAGTACAGCTAAGGAAGAGCAATAGAATATCCTTTCCAAAAAGTCACTTGTTTTCAGAGTTAATTTTTTAGAAAAGCCCTTTTATTTATTTGGGGGTGGCGATGGCCTTGTGGTATTATCGCTGGACTGTTAATCTAGGGACCCAGATAACATTCTAGAGACCTGGGTTCAAATCTTACCAAGGCAGATAGTGGAATCTGAATTTAATAAAATTTCTGAAATTAAAACCTAATGATGACCATGAATTGATTGTTGGGAAAAACCCATCTGGTTCAGTAATGTCCTTTAGGGAAGGAAACTGCCATCCTTACCTGGTCTAGCCTACGTGTGACTCCAGACCCACAGCAATGTGGTTGACTCTGAAATGCCCTCTGGGCAATTAGGGATGGGCAATAAATGCTGCCTGGTCAGTGATGCCCTCATTCCATTAATGAATAAAGGAAAAAAATTTATGTAGTATCTGCAATTGAACTTTTTTAGTTTTGTATTGTTAGATTAGTCTGGACAATTCATTGGAATTGAGAGAGAGAGACATTCCATCTCAATTCTTTCCTAATTCATTCTACACTTTAGGACAATGTTGCCAAATTCATGAAGGATTTATTAATTGTAAGTATTGGCAAAACTGACAATGGCAATATTTAAAAAATTAAAATTAAGAAACTGAATACGTGATTTGACAAAAGCAATTTCGGAAAACATAAATTGCAAAGTATATATGAAAGAGCTAAAGGAGATGATTTTCTATCATTAAAAGCTAGCTATATTCTGATGCAAGGAGATGGAAGAGATAATACTATTGCAACATTAGTGAGACCGTTATAATTATGACATAAAGAACAGGATGCTTCAGTTTTAATGAGATCACAGGATCAGATAGATTGCTTCAAAAATATTGCATATTAAAGTCACTAAGTTTTAAATCATTTATAACTTGTTAAATATGAGGGTATTATTCAAAGACTGAATATGTACCAGCTAAGCAAAATTCTAGGGTGGGCAATAGGTCTGCCCATTATCCATGACACCGAGGCCTTGAGAATTCATTGAAAAATGCTGTAGGCATGTTCCCTTACTGATCATTACAAGGAAGACACGTATACTTGTAACTGCTATCATGTGTATAAGCTCATATTTAACACACTGTCCCCTGCTTCAATAAAAACTCTCAGTGCTGGAGTCGACATGTGACTAACTGTACTCCAAAACAAAATGGTGGAACGAGAGTAGTGTGGATCTTGGTTCCTGAGGTACAGGCTTTTCTTGTGGATTTCTTACAGTTATTATATAGCAGAAGCAGAACAGTTTTATTTTAAATCATTTTTTGAACATGTATAGTCAAAAATAAAAGCCAAACAAAAAAATGCGAAGGAGAGATTTTTCTCACACAGAGTTTGTGGGAGAGGCCTCCACACGTTTGTCCAGTGTCGATCTGGAGAAGGACATTTTTATGTTTGAATCATATATAGTCCAAAAAATATATACATGAAAAAAACATGCAAAGAAGAAGAGATTGTTTTACACATAGAGCTTATGGGAGAGTCCTGCCCACATGTTTGTTCGATGGCTCTGGAGAGAGCTTTTGTTTTCTGTTTACCTGGAGATTTGAAAGCTGACTAATAGAGGACTTGAAGAGGAGGCTTTTTTTTCAGTTGATGAGACTTACAGCCAAGTGCTTGATTTTTTAAATAAAGATTTTAAATGTTTAATTCCTTTTATCTTCTGCATGCTTCAGATTAAACTCTGTGGGTAAGGAAGAGTAGTTTTTTTAATATATATGTGGTGCTTTTAAGAACTTCTTTTTAGGCTTAATGTCACTGAGGGCATTCAAGAGACATAGAGTGTGATGGTTCTTAGATTTAGGGAGGTGGTTACAAAGCAGGATCAGTCAGATAGATGGGTGACTGTCAGGAAAGGTAAGAAGGTAGTTCAGAAGTCTCCTGCGGCTATTCTTCTCTCAAACAGATATTCCTTTTTGGGTACTTTTGAAGGGATAGTTTCAGATGAAAATAGAAGTGGCAGACAGATCTTGGGCACTAAGAATGAATCTTAAGATAAGTGGGGTTTGACAAGATTTAAAAGAATAACTGTTATAGGGGATTCTCCTTTTGGGGCACAGACAGGAGATTCTGTGGCTGTGAGCGTGAATCTAGAATAGTATGTTGCCTTTCTGGGGCCAGGATGAAGGATATCTCGAAACGGTTGAAGCATATTCTCAAAAGGGAAAGTGAAAAGCCAGAAGTTGTTGTACACATTGATAGGAATGACATAGGGTTAAGGCTATGCATAAATAAATGAATAAAGATACTGAGGTTCTAGTCAAGAATAAGAAAGAATCATATATTAGATCTAGACAACTGGGATCAAACGAATCTCTTGAAAAGTATAGAGTGTAGGGGCATTCTTAAGAGGGAAATCAGGAGGGCAAAGAGGGGATATGAGATAGCCTTGTCTTATGTGCTTATGTAAAGCATATACAACAACACTTTTCACTGTACCTTGGTAGATGTGACAGTAATAAATCAAATCAATAAAGTTAAGGATAATCTAAAGAGAATATATAAGTTCATTAAGAGCAAAAGAGCATCGAGAGAGAGAGAGAATAGGGCCCCTTAAAGATCAATGAGGTCATTTATGTGTTGAACCTCAGGTGATGGCAGAAATACTAAATGATTATTTTGTGTATTTCTACTGCGGATTAAGAAATGGAGGCTAGAGAACTCGGAGAAATAAATATTGATGTTTTGAAAACAGTTAACGTTACAGAAGAGGAAGTGCTGGAGGTCCTAGAAAATATAATGGTGAATAAATTGCCAGGAGCTGATCAAGTGTATCCCGGGATATTGTGGGAAGTTAGAGAAGAAATTGCGGAGCTCGTAGCAGAAATATTCGTATCTTCTATAATCACAGGTGACGTGCCAGAGGACTGAGTGTGGCTAATGTTCATTTAATGCCTTTATTTAAGAAAGGCTGTAAGGCAAAGCCTGGGAATTATAGACCTGTGAGCCTGACATCGGTGGTGGGTAAGTCGTTGAAGGTGATTCTGAAAGATGGATTTACATGCATTAAGAGAGGCAAGGACTGATTAGGAGTAGTCAACATGGTTTCATGAGGGAAATTGTGTCTCTCAAATTTGACTAAGTTTTTCTGAGGAAGTAACCAGAGGACAGAGCGGTAGACGTTGTTTAGTAAAGCCTTTGACAAGGTTCCACATGTTAGACTAACTAGTACAGTTAGATCACATGGGATTCAGGGTGAGCTTGCCAATTGGATACAAAATTGGCTTGATGGTAAGAGACAGAGGATGGTGGTAGAGGGTTGTTTTTCAGACAGGACGCCTGTGACGAGCAATGCTC